TTTGCAAAAGATATAATAACAAGCTATCTCTACGTAAACCACAACTTACAAGTCTTGGTAGATCTTCTGAATTCAATAGAGAAACTGTAATAATTGTAAATAAAAATTATTATAAAAATGTTTTAGAACGTTATTATTTTCGTCCATCATGAAACAGAAATTACCACAGTCCACGTACCAACAAAAATTCTTGCTCCAAAAGACAAAAAAACAAATAAGGAGCATGACTAGTCCTGAACGAGACATTAATGTAACATTGGTTGAAGCCATTAATGCTACTGGAAATAGCATCCCACCATTACTTGTATTTCAACGTGCTAAATTTAAAGACCACATGTTAAATAATTGTCCTCCTGGAAGTGTATGAGCAGCTAATAAGTCCGGATGATCAAATGAAGTCATTTTTCTGCAATTTCTCGAACATTTTATTAGTAATGTGCGACCATCAATTGAAAAATCTGTTCTTCTATTAATGGATAATCATGAGAGTCATGTAAACATTTCTGTTATTGAGTTAGCAAAAAAACTGTGCATAGTTTTAATGACATCCTCACACAACCCATAAAATGTAATCTCTTCATCATGGTGTTTTTGAACTATTTAAAACTTTTTATAACAATGCCATGAATAACTGGATGATATCACCAGGTAATGCTGGTAAACCAGTTACAATTTATGATATATCTTACCTTGTTGCAGTGCCGAATCAAGGAGGGGGGGGGCTAGAGAAGACTATACTATAGCCCAGGGCCCCGCAAATTTAAGGGACCCAAAAAATTTTAGAGGACCTTTTTTTTTTTTCTTTCCCTTAAGTCATATTTAGGCTCTGGCCCATAAAAAGGCCTCCAAAAAAAAATTGCCCCGGGCCCCAAGAAGTCTTATTCCGCCACTGCCTTGTTGGTCAACCTTATCCTCATGCTTTTGTACCAAATAATATTATAAACAGTTTTAAATTTACTGGATTTTATCCATTTAATGAAAATATTTTTACTGATATTGACTTTTTAGCTGCAAATCTTACTGATAGACCAATAGTGAATACTGAAGCTTGCATTTCTAATGAAAGTATTCATGTTAAAGCTGCTCAACCCAGTTTACCATCAAGATCATCAATTGTTTTAGGGGAAATCCCTACTGTGAATTTACCATCAAAATCACTTATTGTTTCACCTGAGATAATACGACCTCATCCTAAAGCCAAATTAAGAAAAAAAAAATACTTCAAAAAGACGTAAGGGAAAATCACTTATTTTATTGATACACCTGAAGTTAAAGTTATTCTAGATTCAAAATCTAATAACCAACAATTTAAAAGTTCTCTTCAAGTAAAAGAAAAAAAAAGGTAAAACAGATTATTTTTAGTCAGTCTGACACATTTTTAAATAATGAAAGCTCTGATGAAATTGATTTTAGAGTAAATATACTTGATAATGAAAGTGAAATTGTTTTTGGAAGTTTTATAATTGTCAAGTTGGCCGGAAAGAAATACTCTAGACTTTATGTAGCAGAAGTTATAGAAGTTGTTGGTATAGTTTATAAAATTAAGAATCTTAGGAAATCAGGAGACTTTTGTAACAAATTTATAAGAGAAGATGACAATCTTTATGAAGTGGAACTTGAAAATATTATTATGAAACTTCCACCACCAAGTATTGGTGGTGGTGTATCTAAACGTCAGTATCTTATGTTTGATACTGATCTGACTATTTGTAATAATTAATATATTATACTCTTTTATTGTTGTATTTTTTGTTGTCATCATTAAAATATTTCCTATAAAAAGCATTATGATCATATGTAAGTGAATATAGACCGCCAGCTGATATTAGTTATAAAAATATATTTTTGCTTTTTTCTTATCTAAAATAATAAAAATAACTATTGATATTGGAAAACATGTTTAGTAAAAATTAAATCGCATTTAAAGTTTTTGACCTTAACCCTAATTATTTCATGTAACTAGCATCTAACTAAAAAAAATATGCGACTAAATCTGACTTTATCTAAATAGTTATAATAACTGATTTTATATAAAAAAAATTAGTAATACTATTAGTAATACTGACTGAGAGACGCAACTTCGATACAAAAGTCTTTGCAAGATTGTAAGGATTGATTTTTCTACAGTCTTTTCTTACAATTTTTCCTAATTGTCTAAAATCATTTTTCTAATGACTTTAGACAATTAGGATTGATTACAAAATAATAAGATTTGTTTTTTTTATTGATATAAGGTAGGCCAGAAGTTGCCATATAACATATAACAAGTACGCTAGAAGTTGCTTTATAACATATAAAAAGTAGGCCAAAAGTTGCTATATAACATATAACAAGTAGGCCAGAAGTTGCTATATAATATATAACAAGCTAAAATATTAAAGAGGTTCAAACATTGCATGATTTTTTAATAATAACATTTCGGTCAAAGGAACAACGCGCATCGGTCAAAGGTAAAACGTATGTGTCGTACCTTTAACCAATAGACTTTTTTTTTAAAAACGTGGGAAAAAGATACTTCTTGGTTGAATGAAAAAAAAGTCCTAAGTATAATTTTTGGGAAAAATATGAGAGAACATTATATAATTTGACTGGTTTAAGTTTACTCAATAGACTGCGCAAAAAACGCCTTAAAGCAAAAAGTGGTCAAAGGTACAACAGGTTCCCCTAATCTCTGACTCAATCTTAATGTAAACTTTTTTTTCTGCTAATGAGATTAAATTTAAAATGTATTTGACAAATATATTTTAAATTTAATCTCAGCAGAAAAAAAAAGTTTACATGAAGATTGAGTCAGAGATTAGGGGAACCTGTTGTACCTTTGAAATATTATTTGATGAAAGTTGTTAGAATAGAGTTTCCACTGCAAAAAGCTTATTCATTTAATTTTAAAAATTGTTTGGGCACTATACTTGTTTATGTTTCGATAATTACAAATAATTAAAAATATTTTTTTAATTATCGAAACATAAACAAGTAAAGTGCACAAACATTTTTTCTCTAAATCCCCACTAAATGAAAACCCCAGTGAGAAAAAAGACATCTTTAGACGAATAAAAGGCGTCTTTTTATGACTTGTTATGTCTATTTATAATCAGTCAAAACAAAGACGTGGAGAGACGTCTTCAGAAAAGAGGTCGAAAAGACATCAATCGGTTGTTAATAAGGAAATCATTCTTTGCTCAAGAAAATTAAAAATAATTATTGCCAATAGAACCTAACAAAAATGAATTTTAACCCACAGTATCGTAATTACGATATCTTTGTTACGTTCTGATTGGCCCGTTTTTTGTTCACAAAATACTTTTATATAACTTTTATGTAAAACGTTTTTGAATAGGAAATTTAATTAAAAATTAACTTTTTTCGGTGAGCGGGCTTATTTAATAATTTATATAATAAAATAATATATTATGTAAAATATACATAATATAAATGCATATATATATTATAGTATATATATATATATATATATATATATATATATATATATATATATATATATATATATATATATATATATATATATATATATATATATATATATATATATATATGTATATATATATATATATATATATATATATATATATATATATATATATATATACAGGGCCGGCGCGAGTAGGTGTCACGTGGGGGCATGCCAATACATTTTGCCAACAAAAAAAAAAAAAAAAAAAAAAAAAAAAGGCCTCGTTTTCCAAAATTTGCCGACTGCCATAACGACATTTGCCGACTGTCTAGATTACCGACTAACATATAACAAAAGGGTTGACATTTGCCGACTACCTAGTCTAAAAGGGTCTAATTTGCGACTGAAAATCACTGATGGGGGGCGGGGGGCGGGTGTGACACCCCCTTCCCTCCCCCCCACACACACACCCCTATCGCGCCGGCCTTGTATATATATATATATATATATATATATATATATATATATATATATATATATATATATATATATATATATGTATATATATATATATATATATATATATATATATATATATATATATATATATATATATATATATATATATATATATATATATATATATATATAAATATACAGTCGACTCTCGATATCTCGAATACTTGATATCTCGAACTTTTTTAGCGGTCCCATGGACATAATGTACTAGTTTAGGCTAAAATCCTCTCGATATCTCGAACCTTAGTATCTCGAACTTTTTGGTATCTTTTTTCAAAAATATTTTAATAAAATTTAATTTTTTTTAAATTCCAATTTTCAAAAAAAAATAATTTTGAATTCGATTTTTAAATTCGATTTTTTTTAAGAATCGAATTTCTGTAAAGTTTTCCTTTAATATAATAATTTATTCTTTTTGTCAAACGCAACAACATGCCGCTCGTTAAACGAAAACTCACGAACAATTCTATAATAGAAAAATACAACGCATTAAAAGACCTAGAGATAGGGATGTCTAACAAAGAGATTGCCAAAAAGTATGGAGTCCCAAAGAACACATTATTAACCTGGATTAAAAATAAAACCAAGTTATTAACCTCACTGGAAAAAAATGGCACAAAATCTAAACAGAAGAAACTTCGTAGTGGTAATTTCAAAAATGTAGACAAGGCCATATACACGTGGTTCGTTGCAAAAAGAAGTCAACAAGTACTAATTGATGGTACCATACTAAAAGAAAAGGCAATAAAATTCGCAGAAGCATTAGGAGAGTTGGTTTTTAAAGCATCTGATTATTTGTTTCATAATTGGAAAGAAAGATCAGTTAAATTTTGTCAAATCTTGTTCAATTTTAATATAAACAAATAATATGTATCTGTTTATATTTAATTTATTTAGTTTTTTAAACGTGTAATTAAAATTCAATATTTTGTTGCTATTTTTAGGAACGGCATCAGCTTTAAAATAATCTCAGGCGAAAGTGTCGCCGTGACGAATAATATGACTGCTTCATGGAATGAAACTACACTTCCAACATTGCTTTTGAATTACAAACTTGAAAACATTTTCAATGCCGATGAGTTTGGACTATTTTACCAGTGCCTACCAAACAAAACATACCATTTATCAAGAGAAATGTTTTGGGGGAAAAAATAGTAAAGTCAGACTAACAGGCATAGCAGCAGGGTGTGCGACGGGAGAAAAATTACCTATGTCTGTTATTGGAAAATCTAAAAACCCACGGTGTTTTAAGCACATTAAACAACTTCCTTGCACATATAAAAATCAGCTAAAATGTTGGATGACCAGAGACCTTTTTACAGAATGGGTAATGAAACTTGACTCATTTTTTCGTGCTCAAGACAGGAAAGTAGCACTCCTGGTGGATAACTGTTCTGCCCACCCACACATTGAAGGGCTAAGTAACATTAACCTAATATTTTTCCCCCCTAACACCACATCTGTCCTTCAGCCCATGGATCAAGACGTAATACGAAGTCTTAAAGCTCATTATCGTCACAAAATTGTGCATTTGTGTATCAAGGCTGTTGATAATAACGAACCCATGCCAAAAATTTTTATACTTCAAGCAATGAAAGATCTTGTTTCTTCGTGGAATGCTGTGTCAAAGGAGACTGTCATCAACTGCTTTAAAAAAGCTGGTATCAGCAAAACAAACAAGAGTATTGAAGAAGCTGATGATGATCATCCTTTAAAATTTTTGACAGAAGAACTTAACCGTTTGCGAGAGTTAGATCCTCGTGCCGTCCAAGAAAATCTCTCAGCGGAATCTTACATTGGTTTAGATTGCGATGTGGTAACCACCGCTTCACTTGCTACTGATGCTGAAATCATTGCTCAGATTTTAGACCCTAATTTTGAAAACGACGATAATGAAGTTGAAGATAGCGTTGACGAAGCTATTGACGTCGAAGCTCCGCCACTCCCATCTGATATTCAATTAGAAATTGCTTTTGAAACGATTCAAAATGCTTCGCTATACAGCTCAAAATACGGAAATGAAATACAATCCCTAGCACTAAAACTTGAGGATTCAATGAAGATGGAAAAGATGGATAATTTAAAGCAATATCAGATAACAGATATTTTCCAAAAGTTGTAGTTTTTGTTGTTAATGATTTTTATCAGAAAAATAACTTGTTGTAATGAAAGTCGGGCAATTTTATTTATTTTCAACCCTTTTCTTGATATCTCGAACTCTCGATATCTCGAACTTTTTTTCCGTTTCCCTTAGTGTTCGAAATATTGAGAGTCGACTGTATATATGTATCTACTATAGCATATTAATATGCGCAATTGCTCACTTTTTTTGCTAGTCTAAATTAAGTGAGCGTTTTAAGAAAACAATGAGGGAAAACGAAGAATAATGAATGAAAAGGTTGCTGACCCTTACCAAACCCTCAGTCGATGTAGCAGTACTCCACTGCGAGTCAGGCTATTTGTCAGTCGATGTATGTACTGAAGCCCCCGCCCGCAGCAGGCTATTTCAGTATGATGTTATCATGCTCACCTAACTCAGCAGTATAAGATATATATATATATATATATATATATATATATATATATATATATATATATATATATATTGTATGTATATATATATATATATATATATATATATATATATATATATATATATATATATTGTATGTATATATATATATATATATATGTATATATATATATATATATATATATACATATATATATATATATATATATATATATATATATATATATATATATATATATATATATATATATATATATATATATATATATATATATATATATATATATATATATATATATATACTGAAATAAATATACAGTTGCAGCTGCTTAGCTAAAAAATGTTAATCAGAAGAAGCAAAAGTGGATGGCGTGGTGCCAGTAAGATGGTATTGATATGATTTAGTCTCAATTAAGGTAGTCGCAGGTAAGTGTTTTAAAAAAGTTTGACCATTTATTTTTAGACTAATTTTTTAATCTATTGTGCTTGAAGAACGTTGTTTATTACATATTAAATTAAAATATTTATTTTCAGACGAAAAATAAAACCTGTAAACAATTTCTCTCTATATTTACTTGTTCAAGTGCCAGTGAAACGAACGGTAGAAAAGAAGAAGCATTCAGTAGGCTTGCAATTTTTTTAAATATTTTTTTAAATAATCTGAATAATTTTGTTGTTTTTATTTAGTTGAATGATGAAATTGTTTATACAAAAGATTGGCTCTTCAACTTTTGTGTTAAATATGTTATTTCCTTGTTAACTATTGTCTGTCATTTATAAAGCAATTGTAAAAATACACATAATGACAACAGATTTATCTTTAGAAATGTTTGCAAAATTTTTAGTTTGGATACAAAAAACCAAATCCCAGTAAGAAAAAGACGTCGAGCCGTTGTTGTAATTTGGTTGTATTTTGGTCGCGACGCAAGTTAACTAAATTCCAACGATGTTCCAACGTCGGCATAACGGTGTTACTCTAACGTTTGCTATCAAACGTCGGAACAACGTCGGAAAAACGTTATCATCTAACGTCTTGAATGTTAACATTAAAACGACGTTGGAACAACGTTGGTTGTTTAACGTAAAACCAACGTTAGACAGATTAACGTTAGATCGACTTTGGAACAACGTTGCTTTTTTTTACGTCAGCATTCTAACCTAAACACAACTTAATTTTACAAAACAAAAAAAACTTGCGCATTTTTAAAATGGTTGAAAAACCATTATCGAAAAAAATGTTACTTTTAATCTGGTTTTTAGTAGGGTTGTTCGCCGAAAAACAAAACTTGCGAAAATTTCGCATCTTTATCGTAATAGAATTATTATTGCGGAAGTTGCACATGCAAAAATGCACATTCCGTAACGCGCTATACGAAAATATAAATAGTAAATAAAACTCCGTAATAAAGCATTGCGAAAGAAAACTTGCAAAACAAATCATTTCGTAAGAATACTTACGAAATAGTTCCTTACGGAAAAGCATTCCGGAATGTGTAGTTACGAAAAAGACGCAAAAGATTTTATGTTACGATATATTTAAGATATTAACTGTTAACAGTAAATAATAAAATTATAAAAAAATGTTGTCAAATGATTCTTCAAATGTTTATACAAATATACCTAATATATATATATATATATATATATATATATATATAATATATATATATATATATATATATATATATATATATATATATATATATATATATATATATATATATATATATTTATATATATATATACAGTAAAATCCCGTTAAGTTGGACTCTCAATGAACAGATAAACAGTATGCCTTTTTTTTTAAAAAGTATAAAGAGGATGTGTGATAAACAATTAAATACTTTATTATAAAGAACGAGAGATCTCTCTAAAGGTAAATGATATCAGAAAGAGTAAAAAGAGAAGAAATATATGTGAAACAGCGGGATGTGAACCTGGGTCTACGCGGCCAAATGTCTTAACTGAATGAGGTATACGTTCATTCAACTAAGTGAGAAGTAATATTTATTTAATATATAATTAAGAAACTATATAAAACAGAATTTTCAGAAAGAGATACGTATGCAAATAGGATTCTATATATCAGGAAAATGAATAGTAATGTGAACCTTTAGATGCTTATAATTAATATCTGGACTCAAAAACTAGTTACTTTTAATGGAACACAATAGGCTGTAGGAGCCTCAGGGAAATTATATTCAGAAATGGTTATATTAGACTCAGAGTTAGCTAGAAATTATTACAAAGTATTTAGGACAGATGTCTAGTACAAAAAGCAAAAGATTTAAAGCAAAATGATTTATATTATTTGAAAAAGTTGTTTAAGTACATTTCATCATAATTTAGTAAAGCAAGGGAGACGTGTTGAATTAAGCACAATGAACTCAATCTTAAAAGAATAACAGAAGAGAGGTTGTCACTATTGTGAAGGTGACGAAAGATCTGTAATATAGAACATGGAGGTCAAAAAATGCTATCTTAAGTAAAAAGAGTTTGATGAACAAAAGTTACAATGGCTGCGGGATGCGAACCCGGATCTCTGCGGCGAATTATCACGTATCTAACTGATTGAACTATACAATCTTATACTCAAATTTATATCTTATTAAAATTAAAAAACAATATTTTCTAAGATCTATACTTCGAAAAGCGTATTCAAACAGGACTCTACATACCTTTAAAATCTGCTAGAACTTTAGTAACGTGCACACTTTTAGAAATTATTGAAATAGGTATATTTTATCAGAAACATGCTTAAGCTAAAGCATATTTTTGAGCCTCTTTTTACTATTTGCTTAAGCATATTCGAACCTGCTTCAAAAATTTCATATGCTTAAAAAAAAAACATGTATATTCCTACCCATCATTCTTATTTTTGAGTTCAAAAAACATCGTTGTATATATTTATTATGGCACGTTTCGTAAGTTTATTTCCGTTAAGAATTCTTTCGTATGTTGTGATCCGAAATACTTTCGTTTCGAAAGAAATTTTATTTTTTATCAATATTTCTAAAAATAAAACCATAAAAATTTAATAGTTATTATACTGAAAATAAAAATTCATTAAAACATTTTGGGATTTAAAGATGTTAATTTTTGCAATTAAAATCAGTCTGGCAAACAAATTTTCTTTATAGACTTCAAAACGTCGTTTGGCGAAAATGTTTGTTTCGCAAGTGCGACTTCCGAAACCGCTACTTTCGTATGTTGCAAAATAGTTTTGTTTCGTATGACAACTTGCGAAATGCTAAATTTTGGGGGATCGCCTAAAATGCCGAATTCTAAAACGCCGAAAAGCCAAAATGCCGAAAAAAATAACGTAATAATAGACTTCGGTAACCGTCAAAAAAAACAACGAAAAGTTAAATATCCCCCGGATTTTTTATTGCGCATTTGTAAATGCAAAGTTTAAAAGGACTTCTGTCCTTTTAAACTTGGCAAAAGCCAAATTTGGCTTTTGGTTCTGTCCTTTCAAACTTTCGCGAATAAAAATAGAAAAAGAGACGAAATAAAAATTAATGTTATAAAATTATTTTGAAACTTTTTTGCTAATTTTATATTTAGTTGTGTTATCGAAAAAATTTGCGTAAAAATTATTAACTAATTAAATATTAAAATTTTTAATTAGAGTTATTCATTATGACCAGGGTGAACCATAAAGCAAGCGAATTCTCATAAATAATTGCACAAGAAAACTGTGTAAAGATAAAAACCCTTGTTGTTGTGTAAGAGAAACTACTGGTACACTACAACAATTCTAACCAAACTTGGTCCTTAAGCAGAGAACATCTTTTATGATAATATTTCTTGTTATACGAGGTTGGAAAATATTCTATGTAGGCTTCAACCTCATGTAAGAATGAATCCTTGCACACTGAGCAACATTGACAAAAGATATCTTTGAGAATCTCTACCAATAATTTGCGCCTTCTACGAATCTTTTCCCGCATTCAAAGCTTTTGTGAGCGATGTTAAACAGACCAAAACATTGAAACATCGCAAATGACAGAACAAAATATACCTTTTAGCTTTTTTGGTCTCATTAAAGAGTTAAAGACTTTTTAGAAAGAGTTTTTTAATATACCTTGTTTTAAATATATATGGGTTTGAATCACATCAATTATTTCATTAAATAGAATAAAGCCTCGTGTAATCTCTAAAATACGCGGGCAATTAATTGCAACATTAATTTTTTCTAAGATTAAATAGTTAATTCTTATAAATTTTAGGTCGCTGAATTCGAAAAAGTTATCAAAAAAATTCTATCATGTAAGGTTTTTCTAAAAAACGCAAAATGCTGTGGGATTGTTTATTTTAGGGCGCAAAACGGGGTTTATTGCCAAAATATTTATTATTTTATTTATTAACTTATTATAAGATAATTTTATGTTTCGTAGGCTAAAACAAAATATTTAGTAACTTATGAAGATAATATTAGTAAGCGTTGAACCATTTATATATATATCGGGATTTTCCATAGTAAGTATGGAAAATCCCGATATATACAAAACAACAATGAAATATTACTGAATTTGTTGAAAATGTGTACTTGTGTATCTTGGTGTGAAGATAGGCAATCAGGACAAATTTTGGGCTCCGCATGGAGTTTGTTCAGGGTGCGTTGAAGAACTTAGAACGTGGTCAAAAGGTAAAGTTAAATCTTTTCGTTTTGGTGTACCCATAATCTGGAGAGAGCCTCGAAACCACAGCGATGACTGCTACTTTTGTTCGTGTTATGTGCAGGGGTATAGTACCAAAAATAAAAAAATAAATTTTTTATCCAAACATGGAATCGACACTCCACCCAGTCCCTCACGGACCTGGCATTCCTACACCACAAGCACCCCAAAGTCTAGATGATTTACCATCATTAGAAAGTGAATCAGAAGAAAGTTCTTGTGACGAGTTTCAGTTAGGCGACTACAGTAGTCCTCAACAATTTTTTCAAGCTGAATTAAATAACCTGATCCGAGATTTAGGACTCTCAAAACAATCTGCTATTCAAAACATATCTGCAAAATAAATATTTTGAGCCCTTATTTTCCTCAATATGGTGAGATGGTCTATTGTTCCGATAACAATGGGTTAATATCCATGTTCAAAGTTCAACATATGGCTGAAAGTTGGAGACAGATTATTGATTCTTCAAAAAGAAGAATAAAAGCTTTTTTACTTCACAACAAGAATAAGTACGCATCAATACCCGTTGGTCACTCAGTGCATTTGAAGGCAACTTATTGTAACTTGGCATTGATCTTGGATTAATTAAAGTACAAAGAATTCGAGTGGACAGTTTGTGGGGATCTTAAAGTAATTTCTATGATACTTGGACAGCAAGGTGGTTACAAAAAATTACCCTTTTTTCTTTGTTAATGGGATAGTCGTGCTAAAACTAAACACTGGAAGCAAAAAGTGTGGCCAAAAAGAACATTGAAGATCGGAGATGAAAACGTGCACTTTGAATCTTTGGTTGATCCTAAAAAGGTCCTTCTACCACCACTCCATATCAAACTTGGCATGATGAAGCAGTTTGTAAAGGCATTGCTAAAAGATGGTGAGACATTTAAATTTTTTTCAAGCAAGTTTCCTGGTCTGTCTGAAGCAAAGCTGAAAGAGGGAGCTTTTGTTGGTCCTGACATTCGTGAGCTAATGAAAGATAACAACTTTGAAAATGTGGTGAACTATGTTGAGAGGTCAGCATGGAATTCTTTTAAAGACGTAGTAACAAATTTTCTAGGGAATCAGAAAGACTCGGACTTAAAAAATATCGTAGAAAATATGTTGTGCAATTCTAAAAATCTGGGATGCTCAATGAGTTCAAAACTCCATTTTTTGAACTCCCATTTGGATTACTTCCCGGAAAATCTTGGTGCAGTTAGTGAAGAGCAAGGTGAGAGGTTTCACCAAGATATAAAAGAAATGGAGAGAAGGCATCAAGGTCGATGGGATACAAATATGATGGGCGACTACTGCTGGATGCTGCATAGGGAAAATGTAACATCCGACAAAAGAAAAAGCTCTAAACGAAGCTTCGAAACTAAAAAAACTAGATTTTATAAAGCTTTATAGTTGTATATAATGTATACAAATTATTTTATGATTTAAAATGAACCAAATTTGCATAGTTTTGCCATTTTTTTTCTTCTTATGATTATTGTCTAAAATAGTAGTGTAAGGCGGGCTTTGCCCATATTTTATTTTCGACTTAGCGGAAAATCCTTACGTAATGGGTCGAAATGGATGGTATTATTGAAATCAGCATACCAAAATACATATAATTCACCCATTCCAAAAAAAAAAAAAGTTTTAATTTGCAGACCTGTGTAATTAATAAATATATTTTAAAGCTCCATTATTTATAAAAACTTAAAAATTTTAGTAGTAATAGCAAATATAAAATGCGAACTAAAAAAATATTGGCGGTACCCACATAGACCGTAATAAATTTTTAAATGTTAAAACCTTTTTTTTAAAAGTTAGTTATTAGAGAAATAATTATTTAGCACCGATACTGTTACTTTCTAAATTAATTGATGATGTCAAGTGTAGGAATAAAAAAAGAGTTTCTTTAAAATTACAAATAAAAACGTTTTTTCATATTTTGGAGCACTGTTAAATAATATATAACAAAAACGAATAAAATGCAAAAGAGTAAGAAAACCCAATTTACTATGTGAAACATAATTTTTAATTTTGGAACTGAAAAACTGATATTGTTACATTAACTATGCACAACATCCTGTGCTGAACACAACCAGCCATATAATAAAGGCTACCATTCACCTGATTATTTACAAACTAATTGTCTTTTTTTAATTAATCACATATATAAGTAATTTCATCTTTTATCAGGTCGATCGTGAAACGATCTTTATGCTAGAGCAACGACAATCAGTTTCTTCAATGAATTCATGTTTGCTGAGTAATTTCAACCGTTGAAGACTAAAACTGTTCATTTTTCGTTTTGCTGATATAACATAATTATCGCCATTTAGTATCTACAGATAAATAAATATTTCATAATATTTAATAATAAGGCTAAATAAATTGGATTGAATATGAAGTGATTGAGTTTTAAAAAAATTTGAAACAGCAATTGTCAAATAAAAATCACTGCCAAATTTATGCATTATAAATTAACACTTTTGAATAAATGAGTAAAAAGTCTTCTTAAGTAATGTTTTTATTTCACCCACCCACAGTATATATAAAATAAGAAAAGTATTGGGTTGTCTATATTTTAAAAATGACAAATATCTTATGTACCAGCAGCAAAAAAAGTATATAACCTGTCAATGCCAAATTCACTTTTAAGAGTTTTTGAAAGATGCCAGGAAGAAAGAATTGGTAATCTTCTGAAATTGATTTTTCTTATTACTTCTTGTAGTATATAGACTAAAGCCAGATTAGTTTGTGAAAAGTACTGTAACGTCTAATTTCCTTGCCCTCTCACATTTTAGAAGCTACATCAGCATACACTAAAATACATTTTAAAAAATAATTTATTTTTTAGAATTTATCAATAAAAAAGAAAAACCTTATAAGCTGTTTACCTGAAACATGGGTCAATGAGACTTTTATATATTGGCATACAAGCTGGTTGCCAGTGTTTTTACATACACCCATATTCAAAGTTAATTTTTGATATCATTTGAAATAGATGTCAACCTATATCGCAATTTTCGGGTGTCTATGTTACATAAATCTATCTATGTTAAAGAAGTTTTACATAACATGAAAATGTATAACAATATATAACTATTTTATGAAAATTTGTATTATGATGCAAAACAAAACAATACCAATTATACCAGATTTATTGATAAAAAAAGCAACAACTTTAAAAACATTTTCTTTTCTACTATTACTAAAAGTATTTAAAACTAAATACTATATGAAAACAAATGGGTATAAAAAAATATCTAACACAAGGAAAATTTTAACTAAAACTTCTTTCAAATTATTCGCAAACTCACTGTAAGTGTTTCAAAAGCTATATATAAATAACAGAAATTACTCTAATAAATAAAAAAAAACAACTTTTTTATTATAAAACATAAATATATCGTGTTAGTTATAATATTATCACTATATAGTAAAAATGAATCTAAAATCTTAAAACTTTACAGTGCAATTCATATCAGTTCAAAAAGCATTAATCAATAAGATAAATGACATGGTTTGCAACTTTATTTTGCCAATTATATGGTATCATCTTGGTTAGTTTTCCATTTTTTTGCATACCATCATAAAAAAACCATTGATCTCTTATGTAGTGCAAAGATGTAAAGCGAGCATTAAGTCCAAGAGTTATGCATGCCAAGGAAAAGTAACATTTTTCAATTAAAATTTTTTTTGGCAAATTCATCAGCGAAGAAATTGAAATGTTAGGAATATCACACTCAATCACAATCATCCAAGTATTTTGAGATTTTAATGTCGTGCCACAGTGATTTAATTCTTTATTGCCACAAACTAAACAATTTAGAAGCAATCTTTTATCTTTCAAATAACCTAGCAAATAATCTGTTGGGTCATGGTTTGGAGGCAGTTCTATAAAATCAAAAGGATGAAAAGAACTATTTAAACATGTAAAACATTTTCCAACACTCTCGAATGTAAATGCTTCTTTAAAGTGGTTGAAAAAAAATGTTTTAGATGATCCATATAAGTTAAAACAAGGTGAGCTTGTAATTTGTATTTTACTTTTTAAAAAGCATGCCCAGATTTCTTTACCATAATTGTCATCATCATTATTTAAATATCTCATTGCTTTTTTAAGCTCTATTTCTGCTTCTGAAGTACCAAGGCGATTTAAAAAGTACTTATCTGCATGGCAATGCAACTTCAACATTGTTAAAGTGTTATCAATTGTGCAACTGTTTAAAACCAAACCAACACCCCATTGAAGTCCTCTTGGAATAGAATAATTTATTTCAGGCACAGTAGATTGCTCATTCTGCTTTATACTGAAACTTTCATTTTTTGGAACTGCAAGTTCACAAAAATTCAATGTTTTTAAATTCAAATCAATATCACATTTCCTTGGGGTTTTTTTGCCTGATTTTCTCTCAACTTTAAGCCTATTTTTTTGTATAAGTGAAGTTAAGTTTCTTTTTTTCCCTTCAAAGTGTTCTAAACTATTTACATTTCCAGAGAGATATTGAACTGCTAAAATGTGAACACAATTTTTAGAGGCACCACAAGTACAATGTGCAGGTGGGTTTAAATTTACAGAATGAATAATTGTTTCTGATTCTTTCACTGACCAACTTCGATTTTGGGGAACAAATACAACTCCGTTTTTATTTAATATATCCTTTGCTAATGAGGATATTGAATAAACAAGTTTTGGAAGATCACTTTTAACTGGTTTTTCAACTAACATCTCTATAGAAGCATAAGGAGAAGAAATATTGTTATGATCTTTGTAATGTATTTCAGTTTCTTTTATATGCTTTACTATGTCATCTGGTAGGATGATTTGATTAGGGCTAAGTTCATCTCTTGATATCAACATAAAAGCAAACTCATCACTTAACTGATACAAACCAACATTATAGTATCCCTTTTCAACTTCTCTGTGAAAATAGGCACTGAGATAATTCATAGCTAAAATGCAAGAGTCCATTTTTGTTATTTTGTTGTCAATAAGATCCTTAATAACTTTATTTAAAGACTCTGACGCATTATTGGTAACACCAAAGTTTGGGTACTTTATCCCTTCTTCTGCTAAAACAAATGCAGCAGCACGAGAAATAACATCAGAGTGCATGTATTGAATGTAGTTTTTTTGAAATTTTTGATCATTCCAAGGGTTGATATTTCCTTTCGTTAGACTTTTAAGTCTTGATTCATATTCAAAAACAGAATTTGATCGAAGAATGTATTTCATGGCTTTTACAGCTTCATCATACTCTGATGATGAAAATTTACCATTCTTTCGCATCCATTCCTTTACATTTTGCAATAAATGGTTCCAACATACCAAACTTTTTGTATTATCAAAATAATGGGAGCCATCAAACTCACGATCAGAAATGAATAACTTCCTGGATTTATTAAAATTTTTTCCGCAAACATTTTCTTTTAATGTTTGAAAAAAGTATTTGTGATTTTGTGCTAACCTTTTTTCATGTATAAAAAATGCAAAAGGAACAGTAGGCGAAGAATATAAGTATTTATTCCTTTTTCTTTCCAAACAAACGTGTCGATAAGCTTTCCAAACAAACGTGTCGAAAGTTGTGTCATAGTGAAGTGTAATTTCTTTACAAGGTAGTAATTCTAACATTTCTTCCATTTGTGCAACAATTTTTTCACAACACATAACAATACAGATGTCTGGGTAGCTTTCTATTTTTCGAACAAATGGATGAATGGAATACGCAACAAGATGACTATTCCAAACCTCATCCTTATTATGAAAATTATTTTTTTCAGCATTTCTTGTCATAATATTTGCAACCTGTTTAGGATTTCTTGGAATAATAGAAGTTGAAATATGACCACCTGGGTCATTTGATAAAAGGCTCCTATATGCATCCATGGGTTTATTTTTCCCTTGAGCCAAAACTTGATCAAAAACATAATGCGATGATCTGTAAAAAAAAGATTTTGATTTTGTTGAATTTCCATGACATCTATCAACATATGATTTTTCATTGCCCAAGTAATGAATCAATGCTTTTTTTCCATTTTGCAACATATATTCATGCTTTTCAAAATTGTTAGTATATGTTTTACCAACTCTTGCGTAAAAATATGTCTTAGTGATTAAACCATTTCCTAATGCACAACTTTTTTTGTTCCTCCACATATAGCCATCTGCTCGCAAATGCTTTTTTAATGTTTTGTCACTGGAAATTGTAAACCCATAAATTTCTCCTGCTTTGGGACGAACAGGTATAGTTTCTTCTCCATTATTAAAATAAGTAGCATTTTGTAATAGAGCCAGAACTTCATTAAAGGTAAGTGTCTCTGTTTTTTTAGTTATGGCAGGAGTTGCTGCAGTTATGTTCAAAGTTGCTTTTGAATTTTTTGATGTCACAGATTTTTCTGATGTCATGGAAAGTGGAATAAAAACTTTGTCAGAAGTTTCATTATGCATATTAACCTCAATTACATTTTGATCTTTAAGGCTCGCATTTTTATTTAAATAAGCTGTTGATGTTTTATCATTGATTGTATTAGAATAAGATTGATCAACAGGTATTATTTGCAATGCATAGTTGTGGTCATTTTGAAACACAAATAGAAATTGGTGTCTGAAACTTTCTAAATGTTGAAGAGAATATTTCTGCTCATAAAACAAAGATCTTTTTTGTTGGTTGGCCATAAATTTGAATTTTGAGAAAGAAATGTTCTTTTTCATAATTTTCAATTTTGAGATTCATTCAAAGATACAAAATATAATTCAGAAAAAAATTGGTAATTTTTTTTGTTGATAAATTTAAGTAAAAAAATAACAATAAAGGTAATAAAAATAATATTAAATACTTAGTAAAAACAAATACACATTAAAGGCATACATAAATTAAATTGTTATGGTAAAAACTGTCATATTTATTTGAGAAAATTTTTGTAAATTTCTAATCTATCTAAAAATTATCATCTACATCTTAAAAATTTAATAAAACCTACATCTTATTATGATTTCCAAATAAACATAAAAAAAGTTTACACTATTCTATTAGCTTCATATTAAAATTGATTAAGATATAGGTCAATTTATTTTATCTTTTCTCAGAAAACTACATTCTAATTAACAATTTAAAAACATTGCCATAATCTTATCAACTCCAGATTAAATTTATTTAAAAACATAAATAAAACCTTGTATGTGTAACAAGTGAAGACTTTGAAATGTTATGCAAAAATAGTGTCACAATTCAGAGAACTAATGAAAGTTTTGCATTCTAAGAAAAATATTAATCCACTGGAAACTATGCGGATTAGAAATTACTTAATTTCAGAATCAAAAACTAATAAAGGAGTAGTTAAATTTCACAAATCTTTCATATATATATATATATATGATATAGATATATATATATATATATATATATATATATATATATATATATATATATATATATATATATATATATATATATATATATATATATATATATATATTAGCATTATTAACAAAATAGTAAAAATTACTGAAAAAACTGATGCTAACATTTAAAAATATATAATAGTCATAGTAGTAGTCAAACTGTAGCTGCGTTAACAGCAAGTGAGTTAGAAATTTAATTTGACAGCTTTTGAAAATATACTGCAATATAACTTATATATAACAAAATATAACTTTCAATAATATAATGCAAAAGATGAATAGTTTAAACAAAAAATAATTTTTAAGTTAACTTTTTTGATACTAAATATTTGTCTAATTTTCTCTTGAAACTGTTTACATTTGTTTACTTGACAACTTCCAATGGCAATGTGTTCCATAAATTTTCTGTTCTGTTTATAATAAATTCATGCCTAGAAGTTTATTTTCCAATTTTAACAAATTATTAAACTTCATATACTTATTCTTTTTTTTCTATACAGTAACGAACTCTCTTCTCACTAGACAGTTTTACAATAATAATTTGAATAGAACATACCTTTAGGTACCTTCCTTCATATACAGCACTTTGCAAAGCTCAAAGCTTCTCCCAATGCTTGCATTCCTTGTCATTTTTCTAAACATAAACAAACAAGCAAAAAAACAAATTAGAATACTTATTAAGACTTCATTGAAGTTTCTTCAACAAGCTTTATTGAATTTGGTTGCTAAACTAACTACTCTATATTTACTTTCAATAAAATAAATATGTTTAGCAATCGTTTTAGCTTATAAAAGGAAAGTATGGCTGTTAAAAGTACTTGAGGTTTGTCAAACTGATGGGTCAACCATACTATTAAAACATTAAAGTTTAATGTCTTAATATTTGTTAGCTAACACAGATTAAAGATTAATTAATCTTTAATCTGCGTTAGCTAACACAAAATAAAGAAACAAATAGAAAGAAAAACAACGAAAATTTTACTATTTCCTATTGTTGTGATAACAGATTTTTATCTTACTGTGCATGTTTAGCATTAGTGACAGGCTTTCCCCTTATTGTGCAGCCTCCGCTAAACTTACTTTTTTGTTGCAGGCCACTATTATTTTGGTATACAACACATAGATGGCATAACAATACAAAACTTATTGCTACATTATATTTTTTAATTTTACATGTTTTGAATTTTATAAAATTCAAAACATTAATTTAAACTACTAATGCGGGGGTTGACTACCGGTCGTTCTTTGCTCGCATTCCGTTTTTTATTCTGTTACTCCAAGATGGTTTTTCGGCATTTCGGCTTTTTGGCGTTTTAGAATTCGGCGTTTTAGAAACTCTCAAATTTCGGAAGTGGCTTTTGCGAAATGAACATCGGCGATTTTAAATGTTTTGTAACATTCGGTACGAAAAAATGTAATTCCGTGTTCTCAATCTCCTTACGAAAGAATGTTGTTTTTCCGGAATTGCACGAAATCCTCCGGTTAACAACCCTAGTTTTTAGGCATTATAATCAGTGATAATAATAATTATTACATTATTTCTTTATATTCTACAGTCGAATTAGATATCAAATTTTTATTATATTAATCATTATAACATCAAAAACATTTTTTGTAAATCAAATAAAGTTTTAGTAACTTTTATTTATCATTAATTATTAAATAGTTAATAATAAATAAGTTACTAAAACTTTATTCGATTTTCAAAAATTATTGACTTTTTTGTTATGTTTTTGTATACTTTGTATATTTAACATTACTTATATAGTAAAATTTTCAAACATATATAATATTTGCACAATATTTTATTTACAAATAAATAATGCAATGATAGGTTTTTTAAATACCCGTTATTAAACTATTTAATAGTTTAATAAAATGTCAATAAAAATACAGAGCCTATTTTTATGACATTTATTTTAGTTGTCTTAATACATAATATATTTTTATTTATTTGAATGGAAAGTTTTTTAGTTTCTTGTGAGCTAGTTCTAGACTAAAAATTACCTAATAAGCTTTCTTATAACTTGTGTAATGTGTTTCTTTTACGAATTTGTATAGTAGTATAATTCCTAAAATTTACTGATAAAAACTATGACATGCTATTCCAACAATATTATAACTAACACTGACTTTCACAAATTTGAGTTTCAAGTCACAAAAAGAAGTAAAAAATTTTTTATGTGTTTGTATTAAGTTGTTTTTATTTATTTATTTTTTAATATTATTCACCTCCGGGTTACTACCAGGGACATAGTAGGGATAGAACCACGACCTTTTTATGAAGCAAACGAAAAATTTATCCAACATAAACAGCAGCAGAGCATCTTAAATTTGCACAAGAATTTAGTCAAACAAGATATTTATTTAAATCAATACACACACAGTATTACATTATACACACTCAGTCAGTATTTAATTTTTGAAATGAATCACAATCTAATGTTTCCCTAATATCACAGTTGAAACAAAGAGCCTATTTTGGTTTCATTAATTAAAAATGACTTTTAACATTTTTTTAATGTTTTCTTTTACACCTTCTCTAGGCCATAAAGGCTACCTCCCCAAGGCTATTTAATAAAATCACCTCCTCAATGCCATAAAGGGTGCTGCAGTTGAGGAGGCTCCTTTTTTTCAATTGTATAACTCCCTCTCAACTGTATAACTCTGAAATATTTCAATAAAATACATGCCAAATACATTTGTGGGTAGTTTTTGTATATGATATGTGATTTGATATAGTTTTTAAAATTCATATGTTATACCAAAAGATATATGTATATATATATATATATATATATATATATATATATATATATATATATATATATATGTATATATATATATATACATACTATTTTTTTTTTTTTTCAAATTTTATATGCAGAATTCCAGTGTTAAGTAATCAAAGTGTTTGAAATCAAAATAAGTCGACTCAAATATACTTTATTGATATCACATTATTTAATCTTGGACTCAACTGTTAAACAGTAGAAGATTTGAACGAGTTTACACTAAGAATGGATAATAAAACTTTTGCACAACAGTTTGTGAGTTTGATTTCAATATGTTTAACATGATTTAAAGAACAATATATTTTATTCTGGACAAAATATTCCTGGACAATATATTTTATTCTCCAGCTTTTGAAACAGCAAAAAATTTACAATCACTTTATTAAAATAAGTCTAAATGATATACTGTTACAAATTATGTCATCCTATTTATTCAGCCTATAAATATTTTTAAACATTTTAGATTGGTTGCAGTGTAACAAAATTATTATTTAATAATTCTAATGTTTGAAAATTTTATTTCTGTTACAAAATTTAGTGAATAAAAATGTTTTTATAATTACGATTTTGCCATGATTGCTCTGATTGAATCATGGCAAAACATTCATTCAATTTTAACTATTTATTGAATAAGTTTGGGTTTTTAAGGCTTGACCTTAGTAAATGCAGTAAAATAAAAATATTTTAATAAGATCTTATGTGTAAAACACTTTAATGTGTCTTTTTTATATTTTTTTCTTTTTTAGGCCAACTCTAATGTGTTGGCGGAAAGTTACAAAAATATATTAAAGATTTAATTCAAAGGTAATTTTTGTATTTCTTAATTTATATTTTTATTTGTTTTATGTATATTCATAACATTACTGGCATTATGAATAACTGGAAAGAGTTTGTTAATTATTATTTTATTATCACTTTAAATGAGTATACATAATGCATGTGAATATTTATATAACACATTAATAAACTAATACAAACGGCTATAAAGATGATATTAATATAACATTTTGAAGTATTTTTATTATAAAAGTCTATTTCTTAAAAGTTAAAAAATGCTAATTTGATTTATGAAAATTGTCAAATTTTTTATAAAATTTTTGTATTTATAATACTATAAAGTATCCATGTCAAAAGTATTAAAAATATTATAAATAATATAAATATTGTAAATCATATA